GCTAAAAATTAATCTTTAATATCTCAGAAAGCAAAGCAGCACTAACGGAGCACTAACCATTCAGACTAGTTGCTTTAATTTTGGAAGTGGGTGGGGTGTCAGCTTCACTCAGCTCAGCAGCAACCGTACCCTATGTTTTTTTATTTTTTTTTATTTTTTGAATTTTTTCAAAGAAACTGCCCTACCTTGTTGAAGCATGCACATAAAACTTTAATGGATCCTTTGGGGTTGTGTGGTGGTCCATCTGTGGGTTAATGTGTGATCTCCACAAGTAATTATTCAGATTGGGTTTCTGGAGAATTTCAAGACTCTGTCAATACTTTGATTATAAGAGCTTGTCTAAGATGTTTACTGCGTTTTTTTACTTCCAGTAGAAGCAGTGTTTCTAACATCGCATTAATTTTTGCATTGACAGGTGACCTTCGAGCAACACAAGGAAAATCTGTCCCGCATGTTCCGTCAGTACCAGCAGCAGGAGTCTACAAGCTCTCAAAGCACAATTAGAACGGTCTCTGGTCTCAGCCAAAGTGCAGAAACTACAAAATGTGTTAATGGGCCACCCGGAGAAGAAATGGCAACCTCGACTGTCATTGAGCTTAAAGTGGACAAACTGTCTCAGAAATCCTTTGACTCAGCAACTAGTCCCACTATCACCTCTGGGCCACTGGAGGTTGAGGAGGATAGAGGCCAAACATCCATCACTGTGTCCAACATTCTGGCCAGAACCGAGGATGAAGAGCAGAAGGCGGCAAAAGAGGAGGAGTCTTCCAAAGGTCCCTCAAATGTTGAAAAAGAAATTGAAGCTGCTCTGATACAAAAAACTAATACAGAGGAAAAGACTGAAGACTTTAAGAATGAAAACACAGTGACTGAGGTAGCGGCTGAGAAAAGCAATGATGATGAAACTACAGAAAGCAGCCAATCAGTGACAGCTGATATTAAGACGGAGGAAGTGGAAGGAGACTCGGCAATGCCCCCAGGTGATGATGCACACACAGATGATGAAAGATCAGTTGAGGACACCAAAAGAGAATCATCAGTCTCAGCTACAGAAGATGTTTTAAATGAAAAAGTTCCAGAAAAAGTAGACATGCCACACCAAATGTCCCCTGAGCCTGTAGCTTCTCTGGATAACAGTGTTGTTGGAGGAACTTCTGTCTTCAATGAAGGCTTGGCTGATGTACCGTCTGTTGGTGACCAGGTCCATCCTAGTGATTCAGATGACAGTCAAGAGTCCTCTTATATTTCTGCTGCTACTGGAGAGGAAGGGGAAGTAGTAAAAAATGAACAAGATACACATCATGATGACGATGAAGGGGAAACGAATGATCACCAAGAACAGGAGTCGAGAATGGAAAATGAAACCGAAATGCAGGATGTTGAATTAAATGAAAATGAAGAAAGTAAATCTGAGGAGAAACCAGTGTCTTGTTTGGACAGTCAAGCTCCTCGAGCTGAAATGCCTGAGGAAAATATCACAGAATCACCCAAAGAAAAAGTTAGTGACCACCAGTCTTCCTCCAAAACTGAAGGTGCTTTTGAAGACACGCAGTCCTCTGATGCTCAAACACCCTCTTCAGTCCAAGATGCTGTTGCAGCTTCAGACTCCACCTCCCTAAACCAGCCTACAGAGACCAGTGGGAACAGTGAAGGGAAGACCCCAGCTGGGGACTCTGATAACACCACCATTATCTCCAGCTCTGACACCCCAAAGAAAACAAATTCTGTCAGCAAGACCAAAGAGATCAAAATTGCCCGACTAGACGTGTCCAATGTGGCCTTGGACACGGAGAGACTTGAACTGAAGGAGACTTGTACTACAGTACGCATCTGTTTTCTGTTTCCAGACCTAAAATGTCCATTCTCCTGAGCTCACTCTATTTTAAGGGTTTTGTTGGTGTATATTTGCAGGAAACAAGCCAAGGCCAAGCATCAGTAGTATCATCAGCAGCAGGAGAAGCTGGAAGTACTTCAGGCCAACCTAGAGAGAGCAGCACACCAGCTCCTCGCTCCACTATGTTCCGTATTCCAGAGTTCCGTTGGTCCCACATGCATCAGCGCCTCCTGACTGACCTACTGTTTTCTGTTGAGACAGACATCCAGGCTTGGAGGAGGTAGGAAGACCACACATTAACAAATTATAGTAATTAAAGGAATGAAAATGTTTTATGAGTTGTCGAGAGATCCAGTTCAGCTATTCGTGTTTTGTTGTTTCTTTTGAAATCAAGTGTTGTGATTTCCAGGAGTTATGGGAAAGTAAGATAGACTAGAGAACAACAGTTTTCTTGAAATGGTTACACTGGTATTCACTTGTGAACATTAATACAATCTAAAACCATTGCATGTGAGGAATATGTGTCACTTTAGAATATCACTAATTTTATTGCATTTTTTAAATTACATTTTTGAATTCTGTTTATTGTATTAGTGACTCAATCCAGCAAAACAAACTAATTTAAAAGGTAACAGATCATTTTAATATTTGGTTTATTTACAAATGAGCCATGAGCTGTTGGCTTTCAGTAACTGTGGTCCCCTGAGCAGTTTAGATGACTAGCCCCGTCTCAGATTAAGCAACGTGAAGCTATTTCCCAATCTGACATGCCTTTTTTATCAACACCACTTTTAGTGAGTGATTCTATTACCATTTTATATTTTGACATCTTGAAATATGTCTGCAAGTTTTATAAATACAAAAAATGTACAGATTTCAATATTTGCTGATGGAACTTCTTAAATATGTATATCTCTCTTAATTAATCTTTTATTAATCCTCTGGGATTAATAACGTATCTATCAGTCTGTCTAGCTCTCTGTCTGTCTCTGTCTGTCTGTGTAGCTCTCTAGCTAGTTCTCTAGTTAGCTCTCTCTATGAATCTATTTCTCTATCTATATGAATCTATGAATCTATATCTATTAATCTAGCTCTCCATTTATGAATCTGTGAATCTATAAATCTATCTATGAATCTATAAATCTATCTATGAATCTATCTTTATATGAATCTATATCTATGAATCTTATCTATCTATGAATCTATGAATCTATCTCTATATGAATCTATGAATCTATATCTATGAATCTATATATCTATATCTATGAATCTATATTTATGAATCTTATCTCTATCTATGAATCTGTCTAGTTCTATCTATGAATCTTTATCTATGCATCTATCATTCTATGAATGAATGCCTGTTTTTGTCAAATAAAGTAATAAACTCTAGCTACACACCTTGTTGCATTAAAAGCAGTGACACATATTATTAATAAGCACTATCAGTTATTTATGCAACAGATGGTGCATCTGATTTCATACTTTTGATTCGGTATCAATAATTAGTTCATCAGTCTCAAGAATAAAACGCGTTCTCTAACGTGTACAAAAGCGTGCAGGACACATAATTTGAGCATTTAAAAAAGTTAATAAATTATTTCTATAAATATGAATGTAAGACACAATGCATCAACAATTATAATTAGCTCTATGTTGCTTCATCCATTCTTTCATTATGGAGCTGAGCAAATAAATCCTGCTATTGTTTAGGGTAATTTAAAGGTTGAATGCTGTTCATGTTTTGTATTTTTAGAAAATGAATCTTTTTGTCTTTTACCTTTTAGTCACTCTTCAAAGACGGTCCTGGACTTTGTGAACAGCAGTGAGAATGTTGTGTTTGTGCACAACAGTATACATCTCATCTCCCAGGTGGTGGACAATCTCATCATGGCTTGTGGAGGCATTCTACCTCAGCTGTCTGCTGCCACATCTTCCACTGTGAGTCCCTTATTGCTTGCTGCGTGCTGCTTGTGCTGTGTGTACGTGGCCGATGGCCCGGGTCAAGAGAAGTTATCAATCCACCCTGACCTTTCCCAATCACATTAGACTGCAGTTAGCTGCCTCCTAACAATGTTAGTTTGTTTCTGTCTTGGCTGACCTCAGAGGCTGCAACGACTCTGTCTGTGACCTGACCAGCCTGTCTCACAAATGGGTCAATTCTGATGTAATTCAGTTACCTTCAGCTTTGTGTGACCTCTAACTAAATTTAAAACTGAATGTAAAAAATTGCACTTGTACATCATTGTTGCGAAACAGTGTGAGCAATCCTTGTTGTTTTTTCTGTAGAATTAGTTGTAATTAATATGTCAAGTTCCTGAGTGGACGTTAATAGTGTGAATGTTTATGAAGCATTTACACTATTGTGATCCATTTTTCTTCGCTACGTTTTTTTTTTTTAAGCATGATTCTCGTCCCGCAGTTTTCAAGCTATTTTAACAAATCTTATATCAAAACGTTCAGCTCTTGACTTTTGGTATTGGTGCAGCCTTAGCTTTTTGAAATATTTAGCCTTTTATGCCATTTTTTGTCTCATGGAAAATGAATTGATCTCATTTTAGATTCTTCAAATCTGGATCTGTTTACAACCTTTTACGGCTTCTTTCACATTTTGTTCTGGTTCAGCTTCTTTCAGCTTCCTTGTGCAAATTTAAACTTTTTTCAGCTACTTTCAACTAATTTCAGCTGTTTTTCAGCTGTTTACACTCCTTTCAACTTCTTTTTAACTAAATTTTTGTGCATCTTCTAACTTTTTTCAGCTTGTTATGCTCATTTCAGCTTATTTATGCAAGTTTCAGCTTTTTCTGCTATTTCAGCTACTATATAGCTCTTTTATGTTAATTTAAACTTTTTTTCAGCTGATTATACATTTTTCACACTCATTTAAACTTTTTTCAGCCTAATTCAGCAAAAAATATGCTCTTTTCACTTCCTTCTGGTGATTTAAGCTTCTTTCTGCTTTTTTAGATACTTTTCAGCTGTTTTTTTTGTTGTTGTTGCTAATTTGAGCTTTTTTCATATCATTTCCACTTTTTTGTGCTCATTTCTTCTTTCAACCGTGTTCTTTTTGCGTTCTTCTATTATTTTAAGCCTTTTCAAGAATTTTTATTTTTTTTAGCTAATTTCAGCTGTTTTCAGATAAATTAAAGTTTTTGTGGTAATTTCTGCTACTTTCAGCCTAATTAACTTCTTTCTGCTAATTTCAGCTTGTTATGCAGCTTTTTTATGCTAGTTTCAGCGTTTTTTGCCATTTCAGCTACTTTTAGCTGTTTTGTGCTAAATTTAACTTTTTCAGCTAATGCCACATTTTTTAGCTCATTTCAGCTCCTTCCACTTCTTTCTGGTAGTTGAAGCTTCTATCTTTTTCAGCAATTTTTTTGTTGTTGCTATTTTCAGCCCTTTTTAAAACCAATTTCCTAATTGTTGTGCTTATTTCAGCTTATTTAAACCTAAATCAGCAAATATGCTCATTCTTCTGCTAACTGGCTTGTTCTTCTTTCTCAGCAAAATTTCTGCATGGTTTTAGCTCATTTCAGCTGTTTTTCAGTAGGGATGCATGATATTATCGGCATGGTATCGCTATCGACTGATATTAGCGATAAACTTAGATGTCCAACATGGGCCATTCCATCAAAATAACTCACAGATATAAAAGGCGCTGTTTATTTAAATATACTGTATATTATATATTTATATAGTGTTAAATAATTTTCAGTCCCCTTTTTGCCATCTGCATTTGGTAGCAGGCCAAATTGACAAAGACCATGCAGAATAATGTAGTATTTTAATTCCACAGCAGAAAAAACTATGCAGTCTCTAAATATTTCTATGGGAAGAATATCTTTATTAGTATCGGTTATCGGCCAAATAAGTTTTAACATATTGGCATATCGGATATCGGCCAAAAATCCAATATCGTGCATCCCTATTTTTCAACAAGTTCTTTAGCAATAAGCATTCACACTGCATTTTTACAGGAAATGCAACTTCGCTAGTTTAATGTTAAATTCCTATGCAGAATAACCAAACTGACTTGTACTTGGAATGAAAGTTTGCTGCATAAAAAAATACCCATTTGTTTTACAGTCTTGCATTTTATGCATTACTTACTGTAGATATTTTTGTTCTTTGTCTGCCAGCATGAACTAGAAAATATTGAACCATCCCAAGGTTTGCCGGTGGAAGCTTCAATCACCTTCTTGCAGCGTCTCATTAACCTCGCAGACGTTCTCATCTTTGCCAGCTCCCTCAACTTCACAGAGATCGAAGCTGAGAAGAACATGTCATCGGGTGGGATCCTGCGACAGTGTCTTCGTTTGGGTAAGAACATTACTTATTCAAAATTGTAAACTATTGTAGTTTATTTTAACTACTTTTGTCTTGTAATTCTTCTCCAAATATCTTAATTAATTATATTAAACCAGCAAAAGAAGAGAGGGAATCAATTGGACCTCATGAGCAAAATAAAATTCATTTTAAATTTTATTTGCTTATAAACTTTTGTTGCCCCTTTAAGCTAAAAATGCACATTAAATGTGAAAAACATAAAAATGCTGTTAAAAGATGAATCTGGAAAAGTCACAAGAGAATATAATAAAGATAAACAAAACTTTAAGATGAGAAGTATAACTCCTGAGTTTATATACGTTTAACATTTCTCCTTCATATTTCCTCTTATATTACTGTTTGTTATTGCCCACCGCTGAAGGTTTTGTCCCGGCGTGTGTGGTTGTTTCTAGTGTTAGCAAATTCTCTCATCCCCCACAGAACAGATTTGAATGAAACTATCAGAAAGTAATCATTTGAAATACGTCCACAACTGTTTAAAGGTTTGGAGTCACCCTAATTTAGGTTAGCTGCCATAGGTGATTTAATTTTAGCCAAAATAAAAATATATATAACTTATCAGTTTGACAGATGTAGAGCACATTTCTATCTTTTGGTAGCTTAGTCGTCTTCAACACACACCGAGTGCTAACTCATTTCATGAGCTCTCAATATTGCATGAGACTGTGCATCATTTGAAAGACCCCCCCCCCCCCCCCCCCCCAACATCCCAAACTACTACAACTCCATCATTTCTCAGCATAAGATGATCTCGGTCTAAAACTCTTGAATAAAGCTGCTGCAATATGGATTTCTTCACAAAATGCACAGCCTTTAATTTTCCCTCACATGCTCCTTTTTCCCCACTCTTTGTTTCAGTCTTATTGATTTTTTTTCATCAGAACATCAAGAAATCTTGGATATTAGCCTCACATTTTTTTAACTTAAACGTTTTTTCTTGTTTCTGCCTTCTTCCTCTCAATTTGCAGCTTAACGCAGCCCTTTTTATTCTTCTCATATCAGCTCTGTGCCATCATGGTGTTATAACCCCACTGCGTGGCAACACTTTACAATGGCTGCTAGTATGATGTAGTGAGTTGTCCATAATACTTTTGGCTGTACCGTCTTGCTGTGTAGCCAGAAGTGATGTTCTGCTCTTCGTTCCAGGCTATTAAAGTTTCCTTGGACCGCAATGAAAGCTTGACGTCACAATCAAATATAAAATACATGTATACAGTAGTCCCTTGTTTATCGCAGAGAATCTGTATATTGAAGCCCTGCGATTAGTGAAAAACCACGAAGTAGGAATAGTAGTACAAGCAGTAAATAGTAGTTTTTATATATATGTGTGTGTATGTATGTATGTGTGTGTATGTATGTATGTGTGTGTGTGTATGTATGTGTGTGTGTGTATGTGTGTGTGTGTGTGTGTGTGTGTATGTATGTGTGTGTGTGTATGTATGTGTGTGTGTGCATGTATGTGTGTGTGTATGTATGTGTGTGTGTGTGTATGTATGCGTGTGTGTGTGTATGTATATATGTATGCGTGTGTATGTATATGTATGCGTGTGTATGTATATGTATGCGTGTGTGTGTGTATGTATATATGTATGCGTGTGTATGTATATGTATGCGTGTGTGTGTGTGTATGTATATGTGTGTGTATGTGTATGTATATGTGTATGCATGTGTGTGTATATATGTATGCGTGTGTGTGTATGTGTATGTAATTTATTATTTTTTAGGAGTTTTAAACCCTTCCCACACTCTTGCAATATTTTAAACAATGTTTCTAAACTCTAAACGCTCTAAAAGAGCGCAGCATGTCATGATTTCAGTTCTCTGCCTCCTCTCAGCCACTTGCAAACGTTCTTGGCCACGTCCACTTCTCCGCTCTGCACGGACAGCTGATCAGCTGCAGCAGGAAGTTATCCTGCAGTATGGGCTGCACAAAGGTGCAGCAAGTGCTAAATAATTTAAATACTTAATTTTAAATAAAAATTCCATGCTGATCATGTGGCTCATCTAGGCCTGTCACAGTAAACAATAAATCAATTAATCGCACGATAAATTAAAATTATCGACCTTATTTTCATTTATTGGCTTTATCATTTCTTTGTGTCTTTTTCTACTGAAGACACTGGATGACAAAAGACTCGACTCCAGTGCTCTTCACTGACCCCTCCCTTTCTCTTTTCTCTTTAAAATCCATTTTAACCGTCCTAAATCTTTTTTTTTTGATTGTTAAAAGCAGCTAAGCTGAGAAGCTAAGCTACGAGATAAGCTAACAGGCCGATCGCGGGGGGGGAAAAAACCTCCTTCTTGTCCATGCTCCAAAATTCACGATTGAAACCCGTGCCTTTGTGTAAAAAGTTTTTCTCTGCAAAAAGAAGCGGAGAACTTGTTTACTGATTAAAATTTTTTTTTTTAATTAAAAGCTGTGTGAAAAATGCTATGCTGAAGAGCTCAAACCACACAGAGTGTCCGCCATTTTGAGAACTGAAGAGAGACAGCCCATGTCATGTCAAGGGGCTTCCCTCCCATTTTTCTTGAAGATCCACGCTGTTCGCTCCCTCACTATCCATCCTTCGTTTCAGTCTTGTACTGCCATCTGGTGGTTGAAAAAAGGTACTACGTGCAAAACAAATGAACAAACATTTCTTCTTAAATTTGACTAATTACTAATTATTGTCAAATTTCAAACAATATTATCGTTTATCACAATAATTTCCGAGACAATTAATCGCCCAGCAAAATTTGTTATCATGACAGGCATAGGCTCATCCATTAATCAGCCAATTGTGTGTCATGTCCAATCTTATTTTGAAAAAAACCACGATAGAGCGAGTCTGCGATAAACAAACCACAAAGTAGCGAGGGACCATTGTACTCTAAATATACAGTATTTTTCAGACTACAAGACACACTTAAACTCCTTTTAATTTTCTTAAAAATTGATAGTGAACCTTATGTATTAATTCTGGTTGTACTTACTGACCTCAAACCGATTTTATGTTATTATTGTGAATGAGTTGAATAAAGTTTGACTTATCTGACTGTTTTGCTTTGCTTAACGCGTCTTATAATCCAGTGTGACTTATAGTCCAAAATATACAGTATTGAAGGTGTGTGTGTGTGTGTATATATACACACATTAGAAAGTTTTTGTGGTGGATACAATAAGGATAAATGTGTAAAAACAAAATTTTAAAGCAACACATACACACACACACACCCTCGCTGCGCTTTATTCATTTTTTTGTTAACGGCAATGCTGTTGACCAATTAAAAAAATGCTTTTTACGTAACCGTGCATGGACTTTTTGGCTGCAGTAACATTTACCAACAAAAGCGCCTTCACAGTACCAACTTATTATCCAGAGACGCCCGTGTTTTCTCGGATTACATCGCTGCTGCGAGGGATTTGCTGTACACGTTTTAGAAAGCAGCCTGTATGAAATGAATATTTGATGAGGTATGCGTTCCCCATCGCAGCCACCTAATCTGATTTAGGAAAACTAACAAGATTTTGGCGTCCCCCCCCCTCCTCCCCCACTCTCATTTTATAAATGGTTGTATGAAAGAGTGGTCTTAATGGAAAAAGCAAGCCCATTTTCCAAACAGAATAATTCCCCTCTTCGTAATCTTAATGCGGCAGAGTTAGCATTTGTCAGTTGTCAAGTGCACACAGCAGTGGGTGGGGGGGTTCTGGGGAGGGGCTGGAGAGAGAAGCAGTCCATTAAACTACAAATGGTGAGCATGTCATTTCTGAACCCTTCTAAAGTTGTCGGGCAATAAGATATTTTTCTGCGGCGAAGGACTCGTCTTGTTGCCTACTCAGCGTGTGCACACCCCAGCAGTGTCATTTGTTATGCGAGCTGCACACGGCGGGTGTGATTCAGGAGAATGCCCCCGCACAATAACCTTGGGAGGAGAGGTGGAGCAGGGAAGAGTGAGCGGTGCTGCCAGAGTTGGCCAAAGCACTGACCTTGTCATGGCCCCACTTTTTCTCTTTTTTTTTTGTCGCTCGCAGCTGATTCCTTTCTTGTCTTTTCGCTTCACATTTTGGATTCTCATCTCTTTCGCTGCTTTTGAAGTATAGAAGCAGAAATACAAAGAGTTTAACTTTAGTGCACGTTTCTCCGATGTGACTTTGTCTAGCGTGTAAAATGCGTCCTTTTCCTTTCCTCTTTAGTGTGCGCTATAGCCGTGAGGAACTGTCTGGAGTGTCAGCACGCCCAGTTTAAGCATGAAGGTTCAGCACGAAGCTTCACCGTCATGCCCAGCACTGTACTGGGAACAGCCATGTCTGCCACTGCCCAGGCAAGTCATTAAGAAATTGTCTTAAAAAAATGCTGGTTTGAATTGGTGTCAAGTTTTGCCTATTAAATATAATATTTCAAGGTTTGTAAATAAACTCATCCTTATTGTGCTTGCTCATCTCTTGTATAACACAACTGGACATAATTAAAAACTTGTGTCTGTGTTTTTATATATATAATTAAGTAAACTTTATTTATATAGCACTGTTCATAGATAAAATCACAAAGTGCTTTACAGCAATACAGAAACAGGCTTGAAATTAAACAAAAACTACAAGAACAGCTGATAAAAACAGTAAATAAAACATTTAATTAAAAGCTTGTCTGAATAAAAATGTCTTAAGCTGTTTTTTAAAGGAATCAACAGACGGCCACATGAAGAGACAGGGGCAGGGCATTCCACATTCTGGGGGCTACGGCCTGAAAGGATGGGTCACCCCGAGTTTTAAACCGTGTCTTAGGGACCTATAGGAGGTTCAGCACTGAAGACAGAAGGGTGATGGCTGGAGAATAAGGAGGCAACATTTCAGTGATGTACTGGGGGGCCTGTCCATTTAAAGCTCAAAAAGTAAAGACTAAAAATTTAAAATTAATTCTAAATTCAACAGGCAGCCATTGTAGAGAAGATAAAACCAGTGTCATGTGAGATCTTCTATTAGTTCCTGTTAAAAGCCTTGCAGCAGCATTCTGGATCAAATGGAGATGAGCGACAGCAGATTTTTAAAATAATGTAAAAAGGGAATTAGAATAATCTAAACGAGACTAGATAAAACCATGAATTATCATCTCCAGGTCAGATTCGGATAACATTGCCCTCAATTTTGATATGTTTCTCAGATGATTAAAGCAACTTTTTACCAGAAGCTTTGAATGTTTGTCCAAGGACACAGACTGGTCGAACAGAACACCAAGGTTTCTGAGGCTCTGCTGAGAAGAGGAGCCCAGAGAACCGAGGTGTTGCATGATCCAAGGAACTTTCTGTTCAGGAGCAATGATCAGTGTTTCAGCCTTGTTAGAATTTAACTGAAGGCAGTTGTTAGCTAGCCACGCCTTTTAATATGGTAAACACAATTTAGTAATTCAGCCAACTTGTGTAAGTCTGAATCATAGGAAGGGACAGTACAGTTGAATGTCATCAGCATACAAAAATAGTAAGACACATAACTGAAGCTACTGATAATCTTTCCAAGGGGGCTGATGTATAGAAGGAACAGAATAGGACCTAAGACTGAACCCTGAGGAACACCATTCAATAACAGAGTGATCTTAGACTGTATGTTATTCACAAACATGAACAAGGTTATCTTGCTCAGATAAGAGGAAAACCACTTAAGAACAGTTCCACAAATTCCCAACATTTTTGCAATGTAACAGAAATTTGTGATCGACTGTGTCAACATTGATGACAGATCCAATAAAATCAATGCACTGTACCTATCGTGTGTGTGTGTGTATGTATATATATATATATATATATATATATATATATATATATATATATATATATATATACACACATGCACATTTTATTTTATTCATTTTATTACATTTAACAGTGAACCACAAGCAGCCTTGCCCCTTTGTCCTCCTGTCTAGCAGCAGTAGCAGCTGACTGTTATTGTATTAGCTCATGTCTTATTATGTTACTGCACACTGTGCTATTTGTTACACAAGACTAAGCTGTTTGTCATTTCCCCCTTGATTTGATACAGTGACTTCCAGTAAAGTCCTGTTGTTCTTCCCTGAACTGGGTGCTAAAGCTAATTTATAATGCAGTGGCTGTATAAAAGCCCTCGTGTTAAGGACTCAATGTCTGGAGGGGTAGCTTCACTTAACTGTTAAATTTTACGCTACACTACCAATTTATGTTCATGGATTGATGCAATAGATATTTGCAGTATACATTTGATGTGTTAATGGACTGATTTTCATATTTGTATTCAGAGTCCTGTCGATGTAGTGACAGGTGGCGTGTCCCCAGTCAGAGACTTGGACCGGCTCCTTCAAGACATGGACATTAACCGCCTCAGAGCAGTTGTTTTCAGAGATATTGTGAGTTGTACAGGAAAGACATACCTATAATGTACACAAACCTGCTCCTCTCATTTTAGATACTTTGTAAAAGAAGACATTACCAGACTGTTTTAGTGTATTTTGTTTGTTTCAGGAGGACAGTAAGCAGGCTCAGTTTCTGGCTCTTGCAGTCGTCTATTTCATCTCTGTCCTCATGGTGTCAAAGTATCGAGACATATTGGAGCCGCACAATGACAAGAGACACCCTCAGCGTTCACAGTCTTCAAGGAGTACAGGTATGCAGAAGTTTATTATTGCCCACTGCCCAAGATGAAGACAGAATGTTTTTGTCATTGTCTGTGTATGCATTTAAAACCAACGTGTCAATGAATAAATGAATGTGCACTTATAAGAAGTTTGTCATTTCCTTTAGCCAAAAGTAGAAGATAATGCTTCTGTCTGTGTTTGTGTGTCTGCATTAGTCTATTATCAAAAATACATCCTGAACAAGTGGACAGATTTGAAATACACTAGGAATTAAACTATCAGAAAAAAAATCTACAGCTGATTACTTTTGAAGTCTGTTCTATTCAAGATGGCCACCATAGTAAAGCCACCTTAGCGAGCACAGAAAAGACAATAACTGAGCCATTATTACATATATTACACTCTAATTTGATGTTGCAGTAGATGAAACTCCTCAACACGTTCTCTAAGCACCAACTGATTGATCAAGATCTGTTTTTAAACTTTGTCATTAACATTAACAACTCTGTCTATTAGCAAAAACAAATTCATGAGCCGCTGGATGAATATTATCGTAACCTTCAGACAACAGTCATCAGGTTTATATATATCGGTACAATTGGATACATTTATTAGTCATCTCATTACAAAATGGCCACCACAACCAGTTGACCATGGGGCACACCAAAATGTCTCTAAACAAGCCAATTTTACAGGTAAAATTTCATGTAGTAGTAGCCAAACTTTGTCCCCATTATATCCTTGCATGAGATCATTGCCTTAAACCAGTGCTTCTCAATTATTTTCTATTACACCCCCCCCCCCCCCAGGAAGTTGTAAACATTTTGCGCCCCCCCCTCCCAACTCTCCGCCACGACTGTAAACAGTATCATTTGTCTATAAAATTGTTATAATGTAGATGAACAGATGCTGAGATATATTCATCAATTAAAACGGATTCTTCATTTTTCTGGACTGAATAAAACGTGCATTGAATTTAATGAAATGTAACGTGAGACGTCATTTATCTTTGACCCATCAAAATGAATGTGGTCATTTATTTTACAGAATCAAAGTTTAACATCAAACATTTACATTAATTTGGCAAAATATGAAAATAACAACATCATTAATCAGCGAGCTGTACAATTATGATCAATTATCCACACGGCGGTGGATGAGAACTTTGCTTCAGACATTTCTAAAAATTATCTGTAATGATTTTAGCAGATAGGAGAGTTTAAAGATGGAAAGATGGAGTTTAAAGGAAGTAAAAGATGGTGTGTGAGGGGGAGTGTTGACCAGAACCGACACTCTCCATTCGAACCCAGCTTTTCCTCGGTACGCTCGGTAGTAAACTTGACTCGTTACCTCTCTGAAGATGAATCAGCAGATACGGAGTTCCAGTTAACTCTACCTGTCCAGCGTCTCCATAGGATGGCTGTGACTCGTCCGAAGTAGTGACGAGATTCCGTCCGACACAAGCTCACCTCAGCAAGTGGACTTCACATGAGTGGAGTCCTTCAGAAGTTCCACTCAGAGGTGGAAGATGTTATAATCCAAACTCGGAAGAGCCTTATCATGGCTGGACTTCTGTTCTCCCAAACGACTGGAGCTGCAAACTCTCCAGCCGACTCCAACGGCAACTCACAGAACAACGACTTCACAGAACTGCGAACATCTCAGAACTGCCACTTCACCGAACTGAGAGAACTAGGAAGTACCGGCATTTAAAGGGCTCTATTTCCGGTATATTTGAGCGTTCCTGATTGGTCAATATCAACCAGACAGGGGTGTGGTTTGTGACGTAAGAGGTTACTAGAAGTCAGAAAACAGCAAGAATGTTATTGAACAGATTAAAACTGTTCTCAGAGACAGAGAGAGTTTTGTTTTGGCGAGTTTGGAGAAACAGGTGCCAACTCCTCTGTTTACGTCTGAGAGGATTTTAAAACAAGACAGTTGTTCCAACACATGTCTGCTTCGACTCCGACCTTGGACAAAACTTACACTTGCTCATTCAAAGACAGCAAATCAGAAAATGCATGATTACTCTGTAACAGGCCTTAACATGAATTCTAACTTTGCATGAGGATTAAAAAAATCATTACACTATTTCACAGTTAATAAAATTGATTAGTTCATTGCAACATCTAAAATGGTTTGAACTAAGACACTTTGATTATCAACATTTGTAAAATAGTAATGATAATAGAAAAGAGAGTGTTCTTTCACTTGAATTTTCAAGAAAGAAAGTCTCAGGATGGGTGAACCTGTATTTCTGGATTCAAATCAATGAAATGACAGTTTCTGTCCCACAAGGTTCTTAAGGTCAAGGGTTTTGACCTTAGGCTTAGTTTTGACATCAGGTCAAGTTCACTACAATAAGTACACCTCTGCATAACATTGTCCTTATTAACTTAAAAAAATAATGGATATAGATCAACTTACAACAAAGAATAACTTTAAAACATTGTTTTAGTCTGTAACAGAAACTAATTAAAGTGCATCAATTTGCCTGAAAAAAAAAATCAATCCTTATTTCAACTGTAAACATTTTTGACCGTTTGATACTGAAAAAATAATTAAATATAATCAATAAATAATAATTAATTCAAATTGATCAGCAACATTTTAACTCAGGAGTGTTATAGAAAACACTTTGACCTGCAAAACAAAATGTCACAGCTGCAGAGGGGCGTACACGATTCAAGCATGGCTCCCAAAACGTCAAGGCAGTCATATTAGTTCATAACTTTATTATTAGTAAGACTGAGCGTATTGATCCAAGCAAACAGTTGCCAGATCGCACCCTGACAAAATGAGAATGTTGCAAAAAACCAAACAAAAAAAACTACTCCCTGCAGCAAAAAAAGCATGTTCCCCGGGGTCACACACGCCCCCAAAGAGGTGCGCCCCACTATTTGAGAAGGACTGCTTTAAACCTTTGTGTTAACTGTTTTCTGGGGTTCCTCTCCCAGAAAATTTTTAATAAAATGGATTGATTTCCTGCATTTTGGTGCATTTTAATGGGTTGTTAAACAGCTATGTGCTTGTAAAAAAAAAAAAAAAATTAATTAAAAAATAAAATGCGGACCCCCAAACACCAGCTTGTAGACCCCCTGGAGATCCAGGGACCCTAGTTTGAGAACCACTGCTGTAAATTATCTCAGGAACTTTAGGACAAATTTTAATATAACTTTCAGGAAATGATTTACAACTGATTTACGTTTTGGAGTCAGTCCAATTCAAGATGGCTGCCACAGCTAGACTTTTCTGTTTTTTACCTTTAAAATGTGAAGAATCAAAACAAGACTCCAGTACCTGAATATCTTTCATCTACTGGAACTTTTAAAGAAATCCATTCTTTTTCTTTGCTAGCTTTTTTTTTTCTGGGTTGCGGAGGAGCCTGTTTCCATCTTTAACCGTCACTGTGCAAGAGGCGTGCACGTCCACACAGAAACAAACGAGTCGAGCAACATTTCACACTCCCACTTACACTTCGGAACAATTTAAAAACCTATATAAATAAAATATCTAACAACATTTTGAGAAGTATTTTAAATTGTTACCTCGTTTCCCTCAGTTTTAACCACCTCATGAATCTTTGTGGCTCTGTGCTGTAACAAAATCATTTTACCGTGACTTTATGACTCATATTTGTCACCGTTATCTGTGTTTTTAGACAGCGATGTTGTTTCTGGTGGCGCTGAGGTAGAAAACGGCTTCTCTCTGAGACGCTATGATTCTGGTCTCAGTGAGGACCACACCTCGGCTGCAGCAAGCGAGGCGGATCTGTCATCCTCTGGCGTAATTCATGGTCCAGACGCCATCTCTGAAGCCCTGTCTACGCTGTCGTCCGAGGTCAGACCCGCTCCGTCTGACTCAAAGGGCAAGAATGTGAAAGACATTTTACGCAGCCTTGTCAGCACCCAGTCTGATGATTTCACGGTAGACCCGAGTCTGCTGCCACCAGCGTTCCTCGGACTTGTGGATGATGTGGCCCGAGACTCATCCCTTCAATTTCGCTCTTTTGATAGGTATGAACATTTACACCAGCATACATACAGTTCAGTGTGTTATGTTTTGCACTACACCTTGCTGACCGTGGGGAAATAAGTTGGGGGTGGGGGCCCTATTTATTGAGACCTGACAGGTTTGTCATCCTCTGAAAACCCAACTGACACAAAGTTGACAATCGGATGCCATTTTTCCAACATACCTGCAGAGGACGTTTGAAAGTGAGACCTTGAAGTCATCTCGGTTTGTATCCTCAGAGGAGGCCTTGGTGGATCTTTCAACATATTCTGTAACAAACACTTTTATGCCAAGGAGCCGTAGTTTTTTTCTTTGAACTCCCACTGTTCATTCTTTTAAGCAAAAATGTACTGAGATAAAGGGATATATGGAGATCTTTGGAAAAACAGGAGACTTAAACACCAAGCTCAAAGGCAGCTGCTTGTTTTCATGTGATGTTTAAAAGCTCTCTTTTCCCTCCTTTGCATCGCCCTGTCAAACATTCACAAAGCATCTTCCACTTTTCCTGAAAAACAAATAAAAGAAGAGAATAGTTTGCATTACCTGTGATGGTACGGGCTGAACAGTCAGAAGGCTTCAAAGACAGCAGGGTTCTGAAGTCTCAGACAAGCCCAGGTGAGAGAAGACAGCTACTGGTCTGGTTTCTATTTAGAAGCATTGGTTCTTAGACATTTTGCACACGGCAGAGAGCAGGTTTCTGGGTAAAGAGGAAGGGAAAAGTGAGATGGAAGGAGGGGGTGAGGAGGAGATGGGATTCAAATCAGAGTTCTCATGTTGTGAAGAAAATGCTACGTTTTTCTTTCTCTCACTCACAAACACAGTTGGACAACAGGCCGCCGACTGTGGGAATTCCTTAGCATTTCAGCGATGGCGTGCCGTTATCTGCGGAATGCTTTGTCAGGTCTCGGGATGCTCCTCATATCAGGGGGATTAGACTGGCTCCTGTCCGCTGAGCGCACTCAGTAGGAAGAGAGGACGACAGGAGAGCTGGAGAGCGTAGACTAACAGCTCACTCCACGTCCACAGGAACCTCTTCCTGCAGAGAGCAAACCTGATTTCTGCTCCTTTTTACAAAAAAATAAATGAAAACTTGATCTACACGCATAATATTAATAATTTTATTATGAAAAAAATTGACAATCTACTTTTTTCAGCTTAATAAATTCTAACTTAAGACGATGTAATGCATTTATGTAGGGTAGCTTACTAATAAAACTGAACGATTAAGGTTTTACACCATCAACATGGTACATGGTACCTTTTTAGATTGTATACCTGGATTATTGAGCATGGACTTTGTTGTTTTCAACCAGTTTGACATGACTGTCAACAAGGAAGAGGGCCGGCAATGGAGGAGGGGGCGTACCAAAGAGACCATCTTAACACCAACCAAACTGGTTTGTTCCACTTTGGAGTAAGCTGTTGGGGGAAGAATCAGTTTTGTTGTGTGTTTCCTTGACTGATGAAGCGTTCCGGATCAAAGGCGAAATGTTCCAGCACAAAAAAAGAAACTGTCCAGGTGACCTGACTGAAAAATGTTGGATTGTAGACCTGGATTATTGAGCATGGACTTTGTTGGTACCTTTTTAGATTATTATTATTTTTTTTTTGTATACGCATTATTAAATGTTTGTTTATGATTTCATTCTTATCCCTTAAAATTTTTTTGATTACTATGTAATAAGTTAATCAAAAAGTGGTTTTGATACTTTTTTGGCGGCTAACATTACTTCAGAAATGTTCTTTGTCACTGGATATGCATCTACAACAGACTCAATTTTGAAGTTAAACTGATTCAAAGTGGCTGTTGCAGCTATTCAACCTTAGAAAACACAAACGTGGCCATAACAGTCAGTTTTACACTTATTGAGCTAAATTTTGATGTAGTAGCTGAGAGCCATTTCCAGCACATGCTGAGTGCTAACAGATGGCACACTTTTTTTTGTTTAATACTTTGACAAGCAAGGCAGCAGGTAATATGTTTTCTTTCATGAAATGCATTTAAAAAAATAAAATAAAATTGTGGGATATGGTCTGGAAATGGCTGCATACAGTTGATATGCAGAGTTGTATGTGCATGCTTTTATGTTGCAAAATCATGATCATATTAGAGGTCAGTTGATAAGATTAGAAATATATATTTTTATTGCCAATGTCAATCTTTACAAATCTGGGTAGCAAATATACAGATCGATCCTTCCTTCCTTCCTTGCTTGCTTGCTTCCTTCCTTCCTTCCTTGCTTCCTTCCTTCCTTGCTTGCTTGCTCGCTCGCTCGCTCCCTCCCAAGCAATCACTGTGCAAGAGGCGGGGGACACCCTGGACAGGTCTCCAGTCCATCACAGGGACACATGGTGACAAATGAGACAAACAAACATTCATTCACACCTCGGGATAATTTAGAGTTACCAATCAGTCTAACATGCATGTTTTTTGGTCTGTGGGAGGAAACAGAAGTACCCGGAGAAAACCCACGCATGCACGGAGAGAACATACAAACGCCACCCAGAAAGACCTCCAAGCCAGGATTTGATCCGGCAACCTTCTCGCTGAGAGGCGGCAGCTCTACCACCTGTGCCACCGTGCCGCCCTCGATATACGGCAGTGGTTCCCAACCCTAGTCCCTGAGAAACACCATCCTGCATGTTTTAGTTGTTTCCCTGCTCCAACACACCTGATTCAGTGATTTAATTACTTCATGTTCTGCAGAAGCCTGTTTATGATCCATTAATTAAAATCAGGTGTGTCAGAGCAGAGAAACAACTAAAACATGCAGGATGGTGTTCCTCAAGGACCAGTGTTGGGAACCCCTGATATACAGTACCATTTTTTCAAAACATTTCTAATATTTTCTCATTTCAACTTTATCCAATATTTATTTTTTTTACCAACATTTTTACAATTGCTTTGCAAAAATCAACATACAGTGGGGAGAACAAGTATTTGATACACTGTTGATTTTTCAGGTTTTCCCACTTGCAAAGCTTGTAGATGACTGTAATTTTTATCATAGGTACTCTTCAACTGTGAGTGATGAAATCTAAACCAAAAATCCAGAAAAATACAATGTATGATTTTTAAATAATTAATTTCCATTTTATTGTGTGAAATAAGTATTTGATCATCTATCAACCAGTAAGAATTTTGGCTCTCACAGACATGTTAGTTCTTCTTTAAGAAGCCCTCCTGTTCTCCACTCATTACCTGTATTAACTGCACCTGTTTGGACTCGTGACCTGTATAAAAGACACCTGTCCACACACTCAATCAATCAGAATCCAGCATCTCCACAATGCCCAAGCCCAGAGAGCTGTGTAAGGACATCAGGGATAAAATTGTAGACCTGCACAAGGCTGGGATGGGCTACAGGACAATAGGCAAGCAGCTTGGTGAGAAGGCAACAACAGTTGGTGCAATTATTAGAAAATGGAAGAAATACAAAATAACGGAAAATCTCCCTCGGTCTGGGGCGCCATGCAAGATCTCACCTCGTGGAGCATCATTGATCTTGAGGAAGGTGAGGAATGAGCCCAGAACTACACGGCAGGACCTGGTCAATGACCTGAATAGAGCTGGGACCACAGTCTCAAAGAAAACAATCAGTAACACTCTATGCCGTCAAGGATTAAAATCCTGCAGTGCACGCGAGGTGCCCTTCCTCAAGCCAACGCATGTCAAAGCCCGTCTGAAGTTTGCAAATGACCATCTGAATGATCCAGAGAAGGAATGGGAGAAGGTCATGTGGTCTGATGAGACAAAAATATAACTTTTTGGTTTAAACTCCACTCGTCATGTTTGGAGGAAGAAGAATGATGAGTACAACCCCAAGAACACCATCCCAACCGTGAAGCATGGCGGTGGAAACATCATTCTTTAAGGATGCTTTTCTGCAAAGGGGACAGGACGACTGCACCATATTGTGGGAAGGATGGATGGGGCCATGTATCGTGAGATTTTGGCCAACAACCTCCTTCCCTCAGTAAGAGCACTGAAGATGGGTCGTGGCTGGGTCTTCCAGCATGATAACGACCCAAAACACACAGCCAGGGCTACTAAAGAGTGGCTCCGTAGGAAACATCTTAAGGTCCTGGAGTGGCCTAGCCAGTCTCCAGACCTGAATCCCATAGAAAATCTTTGGAGGGAGCTTAAAGTCCGTGTGGCCCAGCGACAGCCCCGAAACCTGAAGGCTCTGGAGGAGATCTGTATGGAGGAGTGGGCCAAAATCCCTGCTGCAGTGTATGCAAACCTGGTCAAGAACTACAGGAAACGTCTGATCTCTGTAATTGCAAACAAAGGTTTCTGTACCAAATATTAAGTTTCATTTTTCTGGTGTATCAAATACTTGTTTCACACAATAAAATGGAAATTAATTATTTAAAAATCATACATTGTATTTTTCTGGATTTTTGTTTTAGATTCCATCACTCACAGTTGAAGAGTACCTATGATAAAAATTACAGTCATCTACAAGCTTTGCAAGTGGGAAAACCTGAAAAATCAACAGTCTATCAAATACTTGTTCTCCCCACTGTATATTTAACTACTTTTTCCACAATAACTTTTACACTTAAAAATAATACATAAAAGAACATTCTCACCTAAAATTGCAGACTTCAGTGAACTGGTTGTTTCTTCATCTTATTTTTTTATGTGTTAATTGATTAAGTATGCACAGTCATGGAAGATTGCCAATTTCTTTTAAGGTTAAGTTTTCAAAATTGGCTGTCGATCGATTGAACGGTCAACTACTGACTTGTGTGCTGTTGAATGGAAAAAACTTAGCTTATATTTTGTGCTTTAGTAAAGGCATACCTATGATGTGGCTCATTAAACCGTCTTCTTTTGATTGTGAGGTTTTGCACAATTATAATTCAAGTTGGTCATTTTGTACAAACAAAACAAAACAAAAAAGGACATATTTTAAAAGCCAAATGCACTAAATGTTGCTTTGTCTTTGCTTCATCAGTGGTCCAGCCAGATTCAAACCAATGTACTTTTTTGGAC